ATGAAAATACAGATACACCTAGCTCTATAAATCCCAAAAATCCAAAAACAAAAACAAATTGATTATGTATCCAAACTGAAAATTATATGCATAAACTGCCAGTCAATAGTCAACAAAAAACATGAATTTCAAAATTTATTAATAGATCAAAACCCAGATATTGTTACAGCCACAGAGTCATGGCTAAATAAAGAACACTATAACAGTGAAATTTTCCCACCTGAACTCGGCTACACAGTTTTCCGCCGTGACAGACTCAAAGGTAAGGGCGTGGAGTGTTTATCCTTGTTAAAAACAACCTCCTACCAAGTGAACAACCAAAACTGAACACCGATTGTGAAATAATATGGATAAAAATAGAAATCAAAGGTAGTAAGTCACTCTTTCTGGCATCTTATTACAAACCACACGAACTTGATATGAATAGTATCTTAGAATTTGAAAAATCCCTTGAACTTGTGCGTAACTTAAAAGGTACAAAGTTAATCCTTGGCGATTTTAACCTCCCAAAATTAAATTGGGACTCTGAACATACACCATATCTTAAAGAAGGCTTAAACACAAGTCCTGTGTATGATAAATTCCTGAACATCATTGATGATCATAACCTCGTACAAATGGTCAATGAAAGTACACGAAATGACAATATTCTTGATCTATTGCTCATTTCAAACCACACTCTTGTTAACAATGTCAAGGTCATAACCTGGCATATCAGATCATGACATCATATCCACAGAAATATCTTCTAGGCCTACCCTCCTCAAACAAAAACCTCGTACTTGCACCTTGTATAAAAAGGCAAAATGGACTGAGTTGAAAACCTTCATTAAAACCTCAACATCTGAAATACTTCAAAAAGCTGAATCTTTGTCTGTTGAAGAACTTTGGTCGCAGTTCAAACACACACTTGAGGATGGCATATCAAAATTCATACCCACTAAAAGAATTACAGCTAAACCATCTTTGCCCTGGATAACAAAATCCATTAAAAAATTAATTCATAAAAGAGACCAGCTCTATAAAAATATTAAAAAACCAAAAACAAATAAAAATAAATCTGACCATGATCAATGGCTAAAATTAAAAAATTTGAAATCGCAAATAAAAGCTAGAATTAAACAATCATATGAATCTTACTTAGAAAACATCCTGAACCTTGCAGATGATGATGATGAAACTAATACACAAAGTAAAGTTTGTACCAAAAAACTATACTCACTTATAAAAAACTCTAAACAAGATTCACAAAGTGTGTCTCCATTAAAAGATCAAAAGTCAGGTTCTCTCAAAATTAATAACACTGAAAAAGCAAACATTCTTAAAAAACAATTTAAATCAGTTTCTCACCAATTATACCACTCACACTTAAAGATCAATGTATACAAAAAACTGAGACTCATGGATCCAGAAAGTATTGTCAGTACCCACAAATGAATGACATCATCATCGGTAGGGCAGGTGTACTAAAGCTCCTCGCCAACCTCAATGCCAACAAAGCTGCGGCCCTGACAACATTAGACCAATTGTCCTGAAGGAGCTGAGAGAAGAGATTGCTGACATCGTTGCAGTTCTTTTCCAAAAATCCCTGACCACCGGTAATATTCCCAATGACTGGACCCGTGCAAACGTATGCCCTGTCTACAAAAAAGGTGATACAAGTGATCCAGCAAACTATCGCCCAATTTCCCTTACATGCATCCTCTGTAAAACACTCGAACATATAGTTGCCTCTCAACTATCCTCTCACTTTACCACCCAAAACATACTCTTTGATCTTCAGCATGGATTCAGAGAAAGACGATCATGTGAGACACAACTCATTGAACTTACTGATTACTTTGTGAACAACCTTTCAAATGGCAAACAAACAGATCTCATACTTCTTGACTTCTCCAAAGCTTTCGATAAAGTAAACCATCTTAAACTCTTAGATACCCTGCAAGAACATGGTGTTTGTCCTCAAATTCTAAACTGGATACAGTCATTCCTTATTGGCCGTAGACAGACAGTAGTTGTGGATAGTGACTGCTCATCTGAAGTCCCAGTTACCTCTGGAGTGCCCCAAGGCTCGGTCCTAGGGCCCCTCTGTTTCCTTCTATATATCAACAAGTTACCATCTTCTGTCCTCAAATCCCAAGTCAGATTATTTGCAGACGACACTGCTGTATACCTAACCATCAATTCCTCCTCAGACCCCCAACTCTCCAACATGATTTAGACAATATGGTTCTGTGGGAGAAGCAGTGGGACATGGAGTTTAACCCTTCAAAATGCCAAGTCATCCATATCACCAAAAATAAGACCATAATTAAACACAAATATATGCTCCATGGCCAAATCCTAGAGTCTGTTACAAATGCTAAATATCTCGGACTAGATCTATCTGCTGACCTTAAATTTAATACACATATATCTCGAATAACTTCCAATGCAAACAGATCCCTTGGCTTTTTTAAAAAAAGTGTCATCACTAAAAATGAGAAAGTAAAAGAACTAGCATACAAGTCCCTGGTTCGCCCACAGGTTGAATATGCCTCATCTATTTGGTCTCCTTATACTAAAACCAATATTGACAAAGTTGAGATGATCCAGAGACGTGCAATAAGATGGGTTAAAAGGGATTACTCCCCTCACTCTAGTGTCACAGCCATGCAGGAAGAACTGGGCTGGCGATCCCTTGAACATCGCAGACTGGACTGTAGACTGATAATGTTTTATAAGATATACCATAACCTAGTTGCAATTAATCTCCCAACTTATGTTCAAACCCCACATAGATTAACCAGACATATGCATCCCTTATCCCTACGTCAAATACAGGTATCCTCCGACTACCATAAGTACTCTTTCTTCCCTCATAGCATTATACTATGGAATAAACTTCCTAGTAACATTGCCACCCTGCCCAACCTGAGTCAGTTCAAACAGGCAGTGGTGGGTTTGCAGTACTAGTCTTACTCCCAGTGTTTTTAAACTATTTTATCTCTTATCATCTTGTTTCACTATTAACATTTTAACCATGACTAGAATACATTTTCAGTCTCACCTTCCAAGCATGTCAATGTTTGGACTTTTCTTTTTAGCTTTTCTCTTCACCTTTTACTAACAATCCGACGTGCACTAAATTCCTGCCTTTAACACTCGTAAGAGGGGTTGGCAGTATCCAGAGATAGATAGATAGGTCTATTTTATGTATGTGATGTATATATATCATGTCAAATCTTTTTTTATTGTAGCTGTTTTATCTTTGTTGATCTTATACTTTATGTTATATACAGTCGGTTATAAAAGCTCCTAGAGCTTATGTTGTACTGTTGAAAACTTGCCGACTTGAAACAAAACTTATCTTATCTTATCAATGTGTACGAAGAGGTATAAGATAAGTGTCCACTCGGCCCTAAACCAACTCGGTCCGCAACAAAAAAGAAATCACTTTAGATTGTTTAGTTGATGAACATCCAGCGGTAGATCACATATACTAAAAATAATTGAAAAGATCTGTATGTTTTATTATCTTTGTTAAGATGAGATGTTGTGATTAATACAACAGGGTCAGGGACCATCAACCGCGGACACTTTTTGAACACTTTTCTGTACAGGTTTCATAAGTTTTAACCTAGAGACCAAAAAAATTGACAAGGTTCAGCTAGGTTCTTCCCCTAACTAACAAACTTGTTTGTCTGATTGTATTGACACTTATATCTGAGGCTCGACAAAGAAGTATCAAATATCTGAGGCTCGACAAGGAAGTATCAAAATTACCTCAATTGTCTACACTACAGCACCATGTGTCCGGACATTTATGTACATGACGTTATTTAATTCAGATAACAGCTTGGGTGTTTTAATTTTTAACATGATAGACAATGATTCAGAAACAAATGCTGAAGTTTTGGAAATTCTATTGTTTACTCTGCAAATGATTAGGCCATTATTTTTTGATATATCGGTTTACTGACCCGCCGACTCTGTATTTTGGGAAAATGAAAAAAAAAAAAAATCTGCCCCCAAAAAAATTCTGTGTTGTCTTGAAATACGCTGCTAATAACGACTTGTCAAAGAAATGTCGCGGTAAGTATTTTAATTAACTGTTAAACCTATGCCAGACTATTTTACATACGATTTATACAGTGAGATACGCAACCGGTTATCTTTACTCGAGAATAGCCTGTCGTCTGCTAGTTGGGGGAAGTGTTTATTGGTGTATTATGAAAGAATGTCTGTTAAATGGGGTCAAGCCATTCTCACAGAATTATAATTAGGCTTTGATCATATTTCATCAATGCATTGAAGGTCGAAATGCGTAAAAATGTAAAAAAACACCAGAAAAAAACCAAACAAAAAAAAACACGCCAAATTACGTAAGCAATTACATTCAAGGACAGAGCGAGAGAAATCTGCTGCAATTGACAAGATCAGTATTTTCAGATTTAACAAAAAAAAATAGTCTTTAAAAGCAGATTGAATACAGGTTTTCAAACAAACAAAATAAAAAATGCCCGCACTTACTTTTAATAGATTTTTATGTCAAAAATTGACCTGCTTTTTATCCGATAAAAATATTGAACATGACTTTGTGTAATCTTTTCTTGACACTTTTTTTTAACATCTGATCTATAAAGAAATGAGTGCAAGTCAGCTGATTTTCGGCACCTTTGATGATTCAGATTACACAGCAGTGTGTAAACATCAAAGAATGACAGATTCTTTTGAAGAGCTCGCTTGCCACTTGTCAAAAGTCATTGTGTGTAGATTTCATGTGTGTTTTTAAACAATGGCAATATGAGAAAAAGTTTTTTTTGTGTACTTAAAAAATCTTTGGAATAGACAATCGGCGATGTATTTAATTTCATTGCTCTAGTAAGTACTATGTATATGTATGCACCACATTAATAGTTATGAAAACTTTTTTTTTTTTTTTTTTTTTGCCGCCGCCGACCCTACCTTTTTTGGAAAAAATCAGTAAACCAAAACATAAAAAGAAATTGGCCTTATAGATGGTATATGAGGTCAGGCATTGTTTTCTTGACCCCCCAAATTTCAACGTCAACATTCTTTAAATAGCCATTAAAATTATATTACCATTTATGGTGGTTGAAATAAATTTGTTTATTTATTTTTAGAAGAAACATGCATTTATTGTTGATAAAAAAAGTGACAACCACTGAACAAAGAAAATACTAAATTAAGCATTTTCAAGGTCGTCCGGGTTTGGTGGTTGTCCGGTTTTGGTGGTCCCCAACCAGTAGCTTAAACATTTATGAACTGTAAATTCTTCCCTCACACACTTTCATCAATAACAATTTCAATTAGAAAAGGTATATAAATTATGACATGAAAACGTAAAACAATGAAAGGTATGAACACATAAAACAAAGATAATTCAACATAGAGCAACAAAACTAGTTCCACTGAGGAATACCGTACCGCCGGTAAGGCCCCCATGGTTACACTTTTAAATGGATTCGTTTCGATTTTCATTCATAAACGGTTATGATATTTTTTACCGTTTATTCGAGATGACCATATTGTCTTACAAATTATCTTAATAATTTCCTGTAATCATGGATTTTATCTATACTTATTGGTTTATCAAAGTAAAAAATGGAAAATGGGTGTTTACAACCCGGACCACACACCATCACCGTGCAATAATCGCTTGTGACATAATTCATTTTTGTTGAAGTTGATTTTTCTTTGATCTTTTAAATAACGAAATGCGGATACAATGCAGAAAATGTGTGCCGCCTAAATCGTGATGAGCACTGAACATTATTTATTATAGAAAGTAAGTCATCATTTGGCAAATTACATGGTATAGTATAGTGCATAGAAGTATCACCGTAAACAGTATCGATTCGGTTCTTAGCAATCATGTAAAAATTGTAAACGTGGGAGCCTTTACCGCCGGATATTGCTCGATATTACGAGGACTTTCATCCCATTTCAAGACTATGAACAAAGGTAAATTCAAGGTAAACGTTCAATCTGACAACAATAAAATTTCAGATGACAGTGCATTTTGAGAATAAATAAACATGTCAGTTTACCGAGTATTGCTTTGGAGTTGCTCGCCGGTGTCACTAGTATGCTTTTTAATGTAACGAGTATTGGTTATTAATATCAAGTAAATGTGAGAAGTAATCACAGAGTATTTACCACATTTAACCTTAAATATTTCTTATTGTCACAATGTGTATACTTATTGACATATGTGCAGAATATGCAGATTTTGGAGGTACTGTACTGAATAATACATACCCAGCAAACATGCATATATGGGACCCATATGGGCTATATCTAGGCAAGCTAATGGGTATACCCATATTGGACCTATATGGATCCAATATTGGCAAGTCCATTTGGGTACGCCTATATATTAGACCCATATGGGTACCATATTCCAGCACTTTAAGGAAAAACAATTTTTCTTTTATTTATTTCTTTAGAACTCGTTTACTTTGAGCTATAGTGTGACCACCTTGGCATAAATTGCTATTATCCTATATAAAATTGTAGCATTATTTTAAACATTTATACAAGCCATGAGGGACCCATAAGGGTCCCATTTGGGCAACCCGATAAATATAAGCATGCCTGAGCAGGTGCGAGAAATTAATTTGTTAAGTTTTTATATTGGTTTTAATTTTTATTATTTAAATATAAAAATGTGTTTTTAGACTATAAATTCAGAAATAATTTATAAAAATCAGTTTTTGATGAAAAAATTTATTTCGAGCATGTGCAGACGTGCTTTCCGCTGCCGCTTAAAATCAAATTGTGTATTGAAATGTTAAATTGTACACGAAAAAAATATTTCTTTTCGATTCCAAGCATTTAACCACGATTTCGTATAACGACTTTTCATATTATATCCTTACATGTTTATTGTGTGTGTAGGTAAGCTGTAAACGCTGTTTAGTTTTTGGTTTTGCCTTTGTCATGTAATTTCCCAATAGTCGTTTAATTTGCGACATTTTCTAGAATTTACGCCCTGACTCTTAGGCACTTTAGGTGACCTATGCATGTGTATAGTTGTTATTGTTGAATTTCTTAACTGTGACGGAGTCTACACTAACATTTTAAAAATATTGTTTCTATCTAGACTAAATTTTAAGAGATCTCTTTTTAAAGGGACACCATCATTTGAAATCCAGTGTCCCCCCCTAGCCTTAGAAGTCCCTTCCATTTTGTACCAACATTTCATTCATAAGCATTTAAAAATATTAAATACAAATACTTATTTTTACAAATTCAAGTATTTTTTCCAAGTACCAACCAAGCCCTCTAGCTGTTGCACAGGCATGAGTATCGGACCTGAGAAGAAAAAATATGACCTGATAGATAATTAAACCTGTGTTCATCTTAAAAAATTCGTAAACCAAAAAAAATGTAAATTATGACCCCCTTTAAAAACATACTATAAGTTAAGAGAAGGCTGGAAACTCTAGATTCGAGCCTACGAGCAAGGGATTCACTACCCAGGCCGTTGTGAAAACAATTGTCCAGACAATTAAAAATCTTTTATCATTATTTCACATTTGTATTAAGCTTCCAAATGAGACCAACTCCAAGTCTCTAGCCCTTCCTGTTCATTAAATAATCCCATCAGGAAACGAGCGCATTCGTGCTAAAAATCCTTGGTAGAAAAAATTGCGGCACAACAATTCGGTACGTAAACATAGACTAATACATGTTTGTCAGCCGTGCACAGGTCATAATCATATTGTCACTTGGTGCAATAACTCGCTTAATGTATATGTATTTTTTAACTACTTATTAATGTATTTTCATTTTATTGTCAATAGGCCATCAAAAAGGCTGTATGAATCGGATAGTGACACTGATGAGAATGAGACAGACACCGAGAGTAGGCCATCACAAGTTATTGACAAAGCAACAACTCCAAACAGGCACGAAGCCTGCTTTCACCTCCGCCTTGCTTATCTGGACAGGCATTGCGAGAGGCCAGCAGTGATGTGCAAAGTGCTTCTCTAATACAAGGTGCTTCTGATATGCCCTCCCGTGGGCAGATTATTGGGCCCATTAAGTATAAACTTCGGAGCTGTAAATATATTCATTACAGTACATACTTATTAAATGTTCTATCCTCAAAACAAGCCAATAAATGTTGTAACAAGCTGGATTGAGCGACACAGCCAAAAATGGAAAGTTTCACCTTATGACGCCCCTAGTTAAAAAAAAAATTCAAAAGAAATTGATGATTACTTGTGTTAGTCTTTATCATGAAGTGAATTAATGTTCGCCTATTCTTGTCTGACCCCACAACTGTTATCCAAAGTTACTGTCCTTGGAATAGTCAAAAATGTTTATTTTCACCCCATGACATGCCTAGCTCAAAATATTTTAAGTTTAATTCATGATTTCTTATCATTTTCACATTTTGTGACCTTGCACACTCAACAATCCTTTTGAGATTTTAGCGTTAATTACTGTTAAAGCCAAGGAAAAATTTAAAATACTGGATTTTTTTCATATGTAATTCACAAAGCTCTAAAAGTGTAAAGCCTAGAATTATGAATCCTTTTTGAAGCTGCTGTTACACAGATTGTCTGAGTCTTGTAGACAATGCGGGAGGAGAATCGTGAAATTAAGAGGATGATGTAGCAATTGTTGTCAAGGTCAGCAGCAGATGACCAACCGCTGCAGCTTCCTGAAGATATCTCATTCCCTTTTCGTTCTCCTTAGCAGATGGAAACATTCGATGAGCTTCTTGGAGATCAGACAAAGCTGTCATCTGTGGTAAGCATAGTGTTAGTCATGTAATTATTGCACCATTAGTAACTGAAAAAAGTATACCTCATATCCACTGGCTTAAATGCAAAATAACATAATGGTCTGTGGTTAGCACTTGATGATAATGTATTATCATTCTGCTATACTTATGTAGGAAAATATTGCACAGTGGACAAACACTTAACTGCATTACTTTCGGAATTAAAAACTGGCTTGTTTTAATTTTTTGATTCATATTGAAACAGTTATCTTATTATTTAGATATGCTATAATAGCCATGAGTACAAGACATGGGCAGTTGGCCTCATTTTCAACATTGATTATTAAGACAAGACAGTCGATTCATTAATCAAAATGCTGGCAGCTTTCAAAATACCAGGAAAATGACTAGTACCCACAAAATCCAGGAATTGCGCTGTTATTATAATATCAAAAATTATTCTGTTCATACGTGTTTAAAAAACAACAATGATAATGTGCCCCATTACACTCGGTGGAGGGGACAAACAAAAAGGCACAAGTCACTTAGGCTGTAAATATATGAGGAAAGGTCTTTTAATTTGTCAATTCAAACAGTTTTCTTGGCAGATCATGTATTTGAGGTCCAGTTGACAATTATTTGTCATTTGGTGACTTGCAGCGCATCACAAATTTTGAAAATTAGTAGTGTTAAAATTAACATTAAAAAAAGTTTAATGTTCTGCTTTATTTAAGGTGCGGTTCCTCTCAATGTTTGGTGGGGCAGTTGTGCGGGAAACTGTTGACCGCTAGATGATAGAAACCATGTCAAATGAACTGGCAAGAATGTTCAATATGAAGGGGGCTGAAAGGGAAGAAAACATTTGGGGGCCTCTAGATACTGAATGTATTGTATAGTAAGTGATATATTACGAATTTGCCAAGTGGTGTCTTTAAGTAAGGCTTCAAAATAGATATATTATCCAAGATCTTGTTATTGTGTCTTCAGGTATCGCTTTAATGAAAGAAAATGCTTGATTAGCTTTTATGGAAATTAATAAGAGAGAATATTTTACATGCTGTGTGGTTTTGATCCAATGCATTGTGTTGTGATGCATAATATAAGCAGAAATCACCTTCCTGAAAAGCAAGTTATTTGCTTACCTTAACATTCTTTACTGATACACCGATAAGATGATCTCAGCTTACAACTGACTGCAGCGATATCACAGAAATATTGTTAAAAGCTATGTAAAACCGGGACACAAACATCTATATTTGTTAAAACATACTAGAATTAGTTTATATTCCAATTTTATGCTCAAAATGCTACAAGGTGACTTATGACCTTTGAATGGTTTCAATACCTACATTTCACTGCATTTTATTTCATTCTTTAAGGATAAGGATGCTTGTTTTGTAGGATGTGTCCAAAGGAACTTGCCGACAAAGACTGCGACGAGGAAGGATATTGAAATAAAGGTTTCAAAGTGGCTGGCTGGGGCGTGGGACCGCGATGGGGGAAGGAAAGCAAGAAACAAAGTGTCCGAGACCTTACCTGAAGCAAATGAAGGAAGTGACTAGACATGTTTTTATTTTAAAAAAATGCAAATCTATAGAGGATATTTGTTTGTTAGTGTGTAAGATGACATTTTATATCATCAAATGAGCTGTAAAAACATTATTCTCACGAGTGAGAACACTGTTATTTAAAAGTCCCTCAATGATATAAAATTACATCTTACACAACAAACAATAAAGTGTCTTTTTATTTTATGCTAATGAAATTTCCTCAATATTAACTTTAATAATTATTAAATCTGTTTTCCCCACTGTTAACATCAATTTTAGTTGAATTTAAGTCCAATTATTCATAAATACAGGAGTCTTAGGCTTAACAAAAAAGTTTGACAATCAACGTTGAATAGCAATGATTTTATTTATTTTATTAAAAATATATGAATAATCGCTTGTTTTAATAATAAAAACAACCAATTCTAGTAGAAAAAGTCACACCATCCCACCTTATTTCTGTTACTCAGGCAAATTTATGTATGACCTGGCTTTGTGAAATGTAAGTGGCGGCCATTTTTAAAAGTTTTGTATTTTAAGGAAAATTAATTTTGTTTTATTCAGAGGAATATTATTTGGATAGGTTAGTCTTGAAACAGTCCTGAGAATGTCAGAATTGTAAGCAAAAATGATATTAAGGTACCACATGGGGAAAATCTTTAAAAAGTAGTCTCGTCATTGAAAAGTTTGAAATTTGGATCATTTTCACTGTGAAATTATCAAATATAATTTTCACGGATACATCAGTAATACACACAAAAGCATAAAATGAATGACTTTTATTTTACATTTTCGAACCTTTTCTTCATCGGCATATAAGTTATTCCAATGATTGAAAGTCAATAGATATCAAAGTATTTTAAAATGTGATAAGGGTCAGAACTACAGTAAGTGGCTCATTTGTGTGTCTTGTTATACTTTTTGTTGCTAGTTTTAATGTTTGAGGTCATCAGCATAGCATGTCTTTCTTGTAAATGAAAAATTCTTTGCCTTCTAGTCAGTTTATTTTGCTGCTATGTAATGTTTGTTGTTGACATTATATGCTGTTTTTCTGTTGTCTATATGCTGTTGTTATTTTTTTTCATTAAACATTGTTGCTATTTAAATCAAGACATTAAATGCTTGGGGAATGTTTTTGATACTGATCAATACAATTATAACATCTTGTCCAAACTTAACACTAACAGGGAACACATATATAGGTATGGTATTAACCTTTTAAATCAAGTTGAAATACTGTACAATGATGCTTCTTGTAATCTTTATTTTTGTTATTGTTGAAACTTTGATAATACCGGTATTGGATAAATTACTGAAACAACTATTGTTACTGACAATTTTTTAAATGAACTTCTTCACAACAAATTTGATCTTGTTAAATCAGTATTATTTCACATTTTTTAAAGGAATATATCCATAAATAATTACTGTTCTGTGATATATAGGATAATTGTTAATTTCGGTGTAATATCACATTTTATTAGTCCCCTACCGGTTTACCGGAGGGGACTTTAGGTTTACCCTCCGTCCGTCTGTCCGTCCGTCTGTCCGTCCGTCAGTCCGTCCGTCCACAAAACTGGATCCCGCGATATCGCAAAAAGTACTGAAAATATTTTAATGAAACTTGATATATGGATAGATGGCAGTATGGAGATTATGCACGTCTTTTTCTTTTCTTCCCATGTTGAAAATTCTGGTTGCTATGGCAACAAATAGACTGAAAATATGGCAAATTTTACACATAACCTGGATCCCGCGATACCGCAGAAAGTACTGAAAATATTTTTATGAAACTTGATACATGGATAGATGGTAGTATAGAGACTATGCACATCTTTTTCTTTTTTTCCTATGCTGAAAATTCTGGTTGCTATGGCAACAAATAGACTGAAAATATGGCAAATTTTACACATAACCTGGATCCAGCGATAACGCAAAAAGTACTGAAAATATTTTTATGCAACTTGACATATGGGTAGATGGCAGTATGGAAATTATGCATATTCTTTTCTTATCTTCCTGTATTGAAAATTCTGGTTGCTATGGCAACAAATTGACTGAATATCAAGATTTCTGATTCTAGTTTTTAAGTTTTTTCACTATAAGTTCTTTATTTCTTAAGGTATTTTCTTCAAACTTTAAATATAAGTTGCTAGTCATCAACCACATCATATGTGACAAAGTTTACAACTCTAACACAAAATTTATCAGAATTACCTCCCTTGAACTTAAAATTTTCATGAAAAAAACATTGTTTTTTTAATAACTTCTTTTCTTCTGAACATATCTACTTCATATAAATGTTTCTTATTATCACTCAACATTTGTGAGTGTTCAATACTGTAGCAAGACTATTTCCAGAATTATGCCCCTTTTGAACTTAGACTTTTTTTTGAGAAATTGGTAATTTTTACTCCAACTTCTTCAATCATGATAGGATTTTCTTCAAACTCCCACATCATAATAATATGACAAGGTTTATAAATCTAGCATCCATATTTCCAGAATTATCTCCTCCTTGAACTTTTAATTTTTCCTATTCGTTCTTTTAACTTTCATTTATTTCAAATTCAAAATAAACATTCAATATTCATACCTTCATTACTAATTGTTCTTTGTTACACTCACATCAGGTATGACATTGTTATCTCCTTTTTTTTAAATTTTGCTTTTAAAAATGTTATATTTTGATAACAGGGATGTTTAAAAAATAACTTTAGAGTGTCCTTCAGTCCGTCTGTCTGTCTGTACATAAAAACTGTTCACTGTGATCACTTTTAAAGAACTTTTTCAATAAATTTACTTAAAATAGAAACATAAGTGAATGGCCCTTCAGAATGTTGCTTTTGCTCTTACCGGTAGGGGACTTATGGATTGCTTGCAATACTATGATAATTGCTTGTTTATAATTAATTTCACAGAGTGGATACCTAAAGTGTTGTTCACAAAGTGGCGCAGCCATGTTGTTCACAAAGTGGCGCAGCCATGAGTGAAAATAACAACTTTTGGTATTCAGAAGTGAACTTATCATGATATTTACATTGATACAGTATACATGTATGTGTTTACTTTATGTCTAAAACTCTACTAATGTTTGGTTCCTTTCAATAAAAGGTTGAAATATGCGAGAAACTTTTTATCAGGAAGCATCGCAAAGATGAAGTCATTTTATTGACGTTGTTGTCATATTTTTTTTCCGAATTTCAGTATACTTGGTTAACTTTTTTGATATTTATATAGTTATCAAATTCGATAATTTTTTTCACAAAGTGGCTAGTGAGTCAGGATAGAATTCAACGTTAACTTCCATAAACCATTGAAAATTGATAAAAGATTAATGAAATTCTTATTGAGAATGATATTAGCACATAGAAAACTGATCCAAACAGTAACGTTTCACAAAAGGTTACTATAACTACTAGTATTGATATTAACAATTGAAATGCATTAAATTGTAAATACTATTGTTATTTCTTGCCTTTATTGTGGTTTTTGTTGATGAAGATATGAGAAATGAAGCTGGTTATTTTTACAAACTGGTACAAACTATTTGTTACTTTTCATCAGCTGCATATTTTTTTTAAAAGTCTATAAACAGTATTTCTATGTGCCAAGGTTTGTTATTATATTTGTTACTTTTCATCAGCTGTATATTTTGTTTACACATCTATGAACAGTATTACAACTGTGCCAAGGTTTTGTTTTATTATATTTGTTACATTTCACAAGCTGTATAATATTTTTTCTTTCAGCACTATCATACCAAAGTGTAATATATGGTTGTAATGAACAACTTTTTATATTTATTCATGTAGATCTATTTCATTTGTCCAATACAAAGATATCTGAAAATTTAAATATCATATAAAACATAGATACTATTTCATTTGAAAATGAAAGTAATTGGTAGATAGAAATTTGTAATGAATTACAATAAATGTATAATACTTTCCTATGAATTATGTAGAAATTTAAAAAGACATGGGAGTAGGTTTGCAGTTGTGTCTTTGAGAATCTGTATATATATGATACACTCTTACCATAATTGAGATTACTAAATAAAGTTAACATTGTTAAAGCATATACATTGTGTGTTGTTTTCTTGCAGGATAATAAAGGCTTTGTGCCATAATCTGTCTGTTCCAGTTAAAACATCACTTGAATATTTAATGCAAGTACAAGAATTATGCCAGTTGCAGCTTAATGTCCAGCAAACTTATAATTGAAGTACTTGAAAATAGATCTATCCCGGAATTCAAATCTACCCATAATGGAAGTATCTGGGCTGCCCATTTGAAACCCATATTTAGTACAAGGGCTGCCCATATGGGGCCCATATTGAGTACATGGGCCGCCCAGGTGGGGCCATGTGATCCCATATGGAGTATAAGGGCTGCCCAAGTCTCAGATTTTGATAAGATTAAAATACAGGGCAGCATTGCTGCAAATGCAATAAAAAGGTTATGATACAGGGCAAGTGTTCATTAAGACAATACCGGTATACTTGAACGGCATAAACTTTGGGCCAATATTTTAATAAGTGTGCCAATATCTTTCTTAAGGCACACTTTTGCTGTAAAAACCTATAATTTATGTCATCTAGATCTGTTTTCTTCTTTTTAGAGATAGGTCTAATAGAACTAAAATATTTGAATAAATATCAAACTGTACATTATCTGCAACGAAAATAAATGGCGTAATCAATAAACAGACTCAGGCTGTGAAAGGTTATATATTTCACAACACAATCGACACTCCAGTACTTTCAGTGCTTTGATTTCAATATAGCATTATTTGATAAAAAGTGTAATTATTAAATAACACTAGTAGCTACACTACATCAGAATGGCTGTCAGACAGGTCTTGAAACAAAATGAAGGTCCTTAAAACGTCCAGGCCACAAAACAACAATAGCAGTCTATGCCCTGATTATGAGCTGACAGTTATTCTGAAGTAGGGATTGACTCAGATTCAGGACTTTGTTAATCAACTTTAAATTAATATAACTTATATAACTTGAATATGAGTCAAACCATGTAGGTACTTTTTTTCTAAAAACACACCAGTAAGACTCTATTTAGATAAAAACAGAACCAGTCAATTTGTAATGTTTTTCTCTTATTTTGTAGATATACCACTTTTAGTGAGATGACGCCTGCAAATAACCTGAGATTAAACATTATAAAGCCCAATTACATGTAGATGTGCCTTATTTTATAATACATTACCTGTCCCATATGAGCAAACACAATTGTTGGACATATTAAGGCCAATAAGGAAAACTAACAGTTCCCTCAATACAACCCCATATGAGCCATACAATATGGACACACTCAGACCGTGTAACAAAATATACAGTCATATGAGCTAATCTCAGGTTATATGTGAAGAATGATATAGAAGGAACAAGTCCAAACAAGTACAAGTAAAATAGTTTCCTGCGGGGAAACATTTTTAATGATATAAAGATATTTCATTTAACTATTTTCAACATTGTTTGGGGAAAAATAAATAAACGTTTGTATCAGGAATATAGTTGAAAATAATCGATCAATAGAAGAAGGTCTATGGAGACTGGTGACCGTTGAAGACCGGAGACCGGAGAGAATGTCGAACATAAAACAATTACGATATTTCTTTTTAAGAAAATGATTAAATACCATTGTATGAATAATTCCGTGCAAA